GGCGGAACCGGCCGTTAACGGCTGCGCCCGGCCCGGCCCCCGCTTCGCTTAACGCTTTCATTTCGTTACTGCGGGCCACATCCAGCCTCGACTGCCGTGGGTGTAGGTCTGCCCTGGGAGGCAGCCGAGCCCACCCTACGAGACCCCTCAGGCGTGTCACGTCTGAGAGCCACCGCTCTTGGGACCCCGCGGTGAGGCAAAGCTCGCTTTTCTTTAAAGCGAGGTGCAGTTTTAACCGTCCTAGGTGTGAAGACCAGCCCGGGAAATTTAGAGAATCCAGGCAGGGAGCAAGCGAACAGAAGTTATTACTAGAAGCAGGAATTGCTACGAGTCACATCACCCCTGCTGTCCTGTTAACGTTGCTTAATTTGCACTCGGTGACTAATGCGATTTTTTTTTTCGTTAAACCAACATATTTTGGAGGCCCAGGGTTTCCACGTACACCGGGGAGGGAGGGCGCACCGCTGAGGTGGCTCTGTGTGCGGTGACACCACGGTGGGGAAAGGGAAGGAGCGATGGACGTACGGGACTTTTCCCTTTGCACGGGGGTGGCCCGCCAGGCAGATGGGCGGCAATTCGGGAGCCACCCGGCATCCTGCCCTGGGAAGTGGCGACCTGCCCGTGGGGTGGAGCGGCAGCCGGGTTCTTTACCCCGCTTCGGTGGCGGCTCTGTGTGAGTCACGGCCCCGTGGCAATTTCAGCAGCAACTGCAGACTGCCTTCAACCGCACTTGTCCCAGTATTGGCATTTGGGTTTTTTGTTTCTGAATCCTGCACTTAAAAGAGTCCTTGGGTGTGGAGGCTGTCTCACCATAATAGATTACTTCTGTTTTGCTGTTCTCAATTGGGAGCTACATTAAGCCGTCAGCTATACCTCAGGCTCGCGTTCCTCGGAGGCATTGTGTCACTTGTGTCCTGGCCACCTCCTGAAGCCCATGTAAGCCCCTACTGAGCATCTACTCAGAAGTTTTAAGTGCTGACCTCCAAAACTGTGCCCAGCATACCAACTTCCACCATTCCTTGCTACTGAACACGTAACTCAGCCTACAACCACATTTCCAATAACAAAGCAGCAAGGAGACATGGAGAAACCAGGCATTTTTACTGCGTGCATCACTTAGGCAATCTGGTTCAGCAGCAAATTCCAGCCCAAAGCCCTTTTGTAACGTGCACGAAGGTCTCACTGCTCCTCTTCCTCACTGAGGAAGAGCAGAGCGAACTCTGCTGTGACACAAAGACTGGGAAATTTTAACTTGGCAACGTTGGAGAGCGGGTAAGCAGCTGGGATTTCAGACTGTCCAGTATCCCACTGTTTTCATCGGCTCCCATCTCCATCCATCTGTTATCCCTAGTCATGTATTTGAAATGTAGGCTCTTTGGGACAGGGGCTGTCAGTTCTGTGCGTGACTGTGCTGTGCCCAGCTGTGCAGTGCCCAGCTTTCCCACCGCAGCACAAACAGCTGCCTTCTTGCACATGCTGCAGCAGACCCCTGCCGCAGAGTCAAGAAGCGATACTTCACAAGTTCTAGTTTGGGGAATTAGTAGTTTAAAAAATGGTCTTTTGCATGTATACCTAAAAACTAGTAATATGTTCTTTCTTTTTGTTACATGGTGGTTGAAGGCTTCTTGATTATGAGGTCAACTCATTATAGCTATTTATTTATTTGCTTTTTAGTTTGTGAAGTATTAAGCCTGTCGGTTAACCTCTCTGCCTATCTGAAAGATTAAAATTCAGTTCACCACAGCTTTAATATTGGTGCAAAAGTTTCCTGATTTCCCATTGAATCGTGTGCCATTCACACTTAAAGCACAACAAAACAGCAGCTCTCCCCCCTCGCAGAGGCCTGAGTAAACAGACTGGCCTTGCTATGTGCCCTGCTAATGGTTTCACAAGGGTTAATGTAACAGCGCTTCTGTCTTAACTACACAGATGCTTCCCAAGGTTGCAGGCAGGAAAGCAAATGTCTCTCCCTGTTGGTGTTTGGAGCATTCATCTGCTGTCATCCTTCTCTGTCACACATCTTGGGCCGGTCCCTCTGTCTGATTTGGACAAGATGAGCACCATATTTTGTGACTAAGGCATGCGGAGCTGGTCACTTGCTAGCAGATTGCCAATCTGATAAATCCATTATTCATTCTTGGTATTTTTTGTAATTTTCAAAATGACAAATCTATTTTTTTTTTATTTTTTAAGTAGGATGACATCGCAGTGACACTCTGTTCTTTTATTACATGATGTCCCACAACATCAGCTGCTTCACAGCCTGCTCTGGACAAATGAAATGGGGCTGACAGGGGAAGGCGGCATGTCTCCAGTTTCTCAAAGGGTTTCATAACTACGTTGCTTACCTGTGCTACTCTTTTCAAGCCCATATTGCCACTGTTCTTTTGAGTTGATTTTTCTCATGATTGCATCATCTCAGTCCCGTCTTTTTGTGAGATGAGATTAGCTAGCAGTCAATTGGCATGATGCAATTAGAAGTTCTGTTTGTAGAATAAGGCATTTTTGTTCAAAAAATACTCACTGCCGAAAGAAATTTAAAAACAAAACAAAACAAAACAACTCTGTCTGATTTCCAGTAATGCCAAATCAAAAAATAACACTGCCCCTTTGCATGTCTTCAGATGCTCTGTGGGTTAGTTTATGAGCTTTTTGCCAGGATGGAGTATTAGGAAAAATGTCAGTTCTCTTTCCCAGCTTGCAGCCTTGTGTGCAATTCATTGCTGTGGCAAGGACCAGACTATCACCTCTCCAGAAGTGCACATTTTTTATTTGTTATAATTTTCCAGCATTAAAAGTGATTTGATTTGAGAAGGAGATAGAGAGCAATTGTTTGCTAATTCCCCACTTTCTTTGTTTTCTTTCTTTTTATTTCCCCTTGCAGACAAGGTTTTCAAAGGGACATCAAGTTAGTTTGCATGGGCAGCCTGGAACACCCAGCTCAGTGTGGACCAGGTTCATGGTTCCACAGTCATGGACGCAAAACCATGCACTTCCCTATCACCCCACAGCAAAGACTTAAAATATAGTCATAAACCCACAGCTGCACCCCTGTCACACTGGCAGAGGAAGCTACACAGTGTTTGTCACCTTCAGGTTTCTACCCTGGCAGCTGGTCAGCAGGAGGGCAGGTAATTCTTTGTAACAGAAAGTCTGCTGGAATAAATTATCCTTTCAAAAAAAAGAGTATTTGAATCATTGGGAAGGCTTAGCATCATTTTAGCAGCTATGTTGGCTCTAGTCTGGCTTAATACTGGATTTACCATATTACCTAAACACAGTCTGATTGACCCTGCCTCTTAGGCCATAGTTTTCAATACCAAATCTGTGTGCTCCCAGCTCACCGGCTTGGATCTGAGTCACACGTGGTAGGTAGATGAACACATTTCTGACAAAGAAGCTGAAGTGTACAACAAGGGTTGTGTTCAAATTTTAAGCTGGCATCAGGGGGGCAGGCAATGGTTGATCTAGCCCAAAGACCTGCTGGTACAGAAAGAACACAACAAATTCATTGAACAGTTTAGAGTTTAGTGGGTTTGGACCAGGTTATCACTTTACATCATGTCCCCTGACTGCTGCATCACAGTCTGCCCATTACCAGACTTACTACCAGCTACCAGAGCTATGTAGTAGGTGCCTTCGTGTAGTGCAGATTTGCAGAGGCAGCAGCAGCTCTGCACGGCTGTGGAGCTCTCTGCCTGTGGGGATGCAGGTTTGAGTCTTAAGCCTCTCTTTGGATAACTGCTGTTACTCATCTCTAGAGCGATGAATAAACAACTGTTTAGCCAAAGGTCATACACCAAGTTTAAAAAGTGTGTTTTCTGTTCAGGGCCACAAAAAATGGCCACGGAAAGTTATTCTTCTTACTGATTTGAATTTTTTAGAGGGGTGAGCATATTGCAATTTGTATCTTTGAGTGGAAAGTTGTTCATCCTGTTTGGCAAAGTGTTGTCTAAGAAGGTTTCCACGTACTTCAGCACATGATTAGTGAAAGGCTTACAGATTTATGTATTTAATACTCACAGTTGAAAGCTGTGAAAATTGACAAATTTAAAGTATCATAAACAAAAGCCAGTATATGGGTAGAAAATCTGGTTTGCTTCTATTGACAATCCACAGACGATCATTAGGAAATAGTCATTCCCTGACCTTTTGTCACTCATAATGTTTCAGAGGAGTCCATCACTACTACTGTCACTACAAAAAAATTAGGATTTACCTATGATTTTCCAAGCATTACCTTATTCACACACACGGTCCACAGAAGTCAGTAGGACTTTTTGCACAATAGCAAGACAATTTTACCCTACCTAGCTAGAATTTAGAGCTTCCTGGTAAGGTCAGTGATCAATTAAAGTTTATTTGGAAATTGCAACAAGTAGATTAACTGAGTCACAGTGAGTCAGGTTCAGAACTGGGTTTGGTTCTATAAGCATGTAATTAAAAAAATTCACACTAATGGGAAACTTGTTGCACAAGAATCAGCATCCTACTTCTCCCCTTGATAATGGAATGGTTAGTGATGGATCTCTTCTCTACATGACAGTGTGGGAGATCTTGGTGTAGCCTGTCGAGAGAAATAGGTCTGCCTAGTCCTTCTTTGAATACAGTCTATTCAAATACAGTCTTTGTGAGCTGGATGGGGTAAGAGGATAGCCTGAGGGTCTTCCTGGCTTGAGCACTTACTTTGGGAAAACAACATCCTGACCATGCTTTCCCTCTGCCCTAGAGAGAACCAACTGACCAAGGTGTAC